GAAAAAGGTGGATGTCATTGTCGACGATCGCGATATGGCAGTGGGTAGCTACTTTGTCAAATAGAATTAGCCGTCTCCTCCAGCCTGACGAAGAATCCAAATCCCCTGCAAGTTCTCGGCAGCTCAATACAACTGAACATGATTTCAATGTAGGTACCGAAAACACGGTACACTCTGAGCCCGTATCTGCGTGTCTTGCTTCAACCGAAGCGAGTCCGATTGCAGATAACCAGTCAGCAAATTTAATGAGTGAGACTCTGTCTACAATAGTGGATATGATGCCTGTGCTGGACGATACACTCGCTAATCATTTACTGGATATCGCGTCTAAATTTCCGAAGCATACACCTGGAAAATGGCCCCTGCTACTCGCCGAATTTCGGCGATTAAAACCCCAGTCTGTGATATCGCAAAATGCACTGCGCAAGCGTCTAGAGAAATACCAAAAGCGAAAGCATCCTGGCCCAGAAGCTGTAACCGCGCCAGCAGTTGAATTGCCAGTTCTTAACCAAACGGAAACCACAGCGTCTGTAGAAGCAAACCCCAATAAACGGCCACCACCAGCATGCAGCAGTTGTCGAGAACGCAAAAGAAAATGCGGGCCGTCCAGCACTAACCCACAGTGCGAACGTCGCAAAATTGCTCAATACACACCGATATCTTCATTTTTCAGTCAAACTTGATTTATCCGTACGTAATTTAGTCTACAGGTTATGCAATACGCACTACACAACAAACCACAATATAATTTATTACCACAAATATTTGATAGCAGCCAAACTTAAGATAAGTACAGTTGACCTCACACATCGCGCTGTCGAGCTTCTTGACCATCACTACCAGTAGCTACAAGCAAAATCAGCGCTCCATACAGTTACCTACACGTTGCACGCCGTCTACTAGAGCATAGAGTCCAGATTGCAACGTCATAGCCGCCTTTTCGTCTTGGGGACGATGCTTCACGGTGTCTACAAGCAGACACATGGCTTACAGCTTCGTTGCATGAGCACTACAGCCACAGACAAGCTTTTAGTAGCTTATGCATACCACCTAAATAATGCTTCTTCGATCTGTTAGCACGCCGACCATGTGACCTCCATCTCGAGCTTTCTTACGAGCACTCGATATTGCGTACGGGATCGTTGCTGCGCTACTGAGTTTGCAGTAGCGCGGTGCTTTCGTCGATTTCCCCCGTCGTTCTTCTGCAAAGCAGAGTCGCCACAGTAAACAGGGGTCACGTTACGCTATACCCTCTAAATTTGGATTTTGTATCAATCGAGGGGGTGTCACCATCATCTCATATCGGGCTGGTCGGGACAGCTGTCGGGACACTTAACGGTCGTAAAAGGTCTTAGACGGTCACAAGTGGTGGCACTGGTCTCGGGACAAGCCCACGAATACCGGTCAAG